AGGAAAGGCAAGAGGCAATGAAGTTGAGGAAGAAAGCATCTCGGTATACACTTGTTGATGGGGTCCTTTATAAGAGATCTTTTTCACTTCCCCTTTTGTGATGCTTGAATCCTTATGAAGCCGAGTATGCACTTCGGGAGGTACATGAAGGTGTTTGTGGGAGCCACGTCGGTGCTAGAACTCTGGCTCACAAAGTCTTAAGACAGGGATATTACTGGCCAAACATGTATAAGGATGCCATTTACTTTGTTCAGAAATGTCCGAAGTGCCAATTCTTTGCACATCTGACTCACCAACCTGCAGAAGAACTCACGAACTTGGTAGCACCATGGTTGCACAATGGGGACTAGATCTTTTGGGTCCATTCGTGAAAGGGGTTGGTGGTGTAACCCATCTGGTTGTTGGTGTAGATTATTTCACAAAATGGGTTGAAGCTCGGCCTTTATCTAGTCTTACCTCCAAGAAGGTCGAAGATTTTGTTTTCAGCTCGATCATCTGCAGATATGGGATGCCAAATCAAATTGTGGCTGATAATGGAACTCAATTCAATTACTCCTCATTCCGAGATTTCTGTTCCAGTTATGGGATCAAGTTGCAGTTCACCTCCGTTTACCATCCGGAGTCCAATGGCATGGTGGAATCTGTTAACAAATGCATTTTAGAAGGAATAAGGCCGAGATTGGAGCAGCATAAGGCCAAGTGGGCAGACGAGCTCAACAACGTCCTTTGGGCATACAGAATCACGAGCCGAACTGCTACAGGTACTACTTTAAACTGAGTTTATTTGGTTAATTTTTATAGTATTTTACTTTTTCTAATACGCTTTACCTTAGAGCAAATATGCATAATGCATAAAGCGCATTCTAAAGTTATAATTAACTGAAATAGGTGAAACACCCTACCACCTGGTCTTTGGTACCGAAGCAGTTATTCCTGTTGAAATAGGAGTCCCAAGCTTCCGGGTCACCCATTTCGATGAAGGACGAAATGGACAACTGCTTCGGAAAAACCTTGATCTGCTTGCTGAAGTCAGAGAAGAAGCTCGGCTTCGAACTCTCGTATACAAGCAGAAACTAGCCAACTTCTACAATAAACGAGTCCGCCCTCGAACATTCAAAGTAGGAGACCTTGTTCTCAGAAAAGCTGGCCTAACAGGGTTTGAAACTCGTTTTGGCAAACTCGCCCCAAATTGGGAAGGCCCTTATGTCGTGGCCGAGGTACCACATCCTGGTGCCTATGTCCTCCAAGACGCTGAAGGAAAGAGAGTTTCTAGAGTCTGGAATGTAAATAACTTGAAGAAATTTTACCCCTAATAGAATTCTTTCAAGAGATCTATGTCTTACAGTTCTTATTTCATGCTTATCGAGATTCATTTTACCTCTTATTCTATGTATCCGAGGTCAATCAGTCTATTCATTCCTTGAACCTCACTTTTGATTAATAAATGTCACTTCACATATAAAATGCTTTACTTCCTTTTAATTCATTTGCAGTGATGTACTTGTTCTTAATTTATCTGAAGTAATTTACTTCTTCTTAATCCGTCTAAAGTGATTTACTTCCCTTTGGTCCACTTCTGAAGTGGTTCACTTTCTTTCAAATCACGTCTCAAATAATCTCAGTTCTTTTATTAATAAAAAATAATAATAACAAAAATGTAAAGCAAACACAAACAAACACATGATTTTAAAAATGAATTTTCATTCAAGGAAGAATTACAAATTGTTTCAATGTTTTACAAAACTTAAAAAAAAAAAAAAAAACAAAAGTTCTCTACTGGAGAGGTGACTGCATTGGCTCCTACTCAGCTGGAGGAGGTGGCTGTGTTGGCTGCTGCTCGTCTGGCAGAAGAGGCTGATCATCGTCAGAAGGAACTGGATGAATCTCTACTTCTGGACCTGGTTGGTTCTCATCCACTTCAGCTCCCTCCACTCTTGCCTCCATCTCATCTTCCTCTACCTCTGCCCCTTCTTCCTCCACTGCCACGAACTCAAAGTCGAACTGTGGAGGGAAAAAAGCACGCCCGTTTGCATCATCCTCCCACCTCAGTTTGATCTGAGGACGGAAGTCTGCTGACATGCTTTCACCATCTTCCTCCACCCCTTCTTCTTGCTCTCCGAAGGTGATCTTCGTAATATCCACTTCGGGATATTCTGCCTTCACCTTCTTCCTGCAGTCTGTGAATGCAATGATGGCAGTCGGCAGCCGGTATAAGTTGACGATGTTGTCAAACGAGCTGGAGCTGATGAAGTTACTGATGTGCTCCTTCATCCCATTGTGCACCAAGGTCTGCACATTCCCCTTCAGCTCCAAGAAAGCCTCCTTCGTTAGCTTTAGTTCTTGCGCCTGAGCCTCACGCTCGCTTTCAAAGATCTTTCGTTTGCTCTCTTCAAAGCCGAGCTTGGTGCTCAGGGAAGCTCTCTCCTGCTCCAACTGCTTTAGAGTTGGAACCACCTCGTCCAACGACTCTTGCAGATCTTTATTTTTCTTCTCCAGCTCCTCCTTCTCCTTCTGCAGCTGGTCACACTGCCTCTGCAAGAGTGCGCGCTCCTTTATACTCTCCCTGAACTCCTGGGCTAGACCATTCACCCAGCTCGCGCTCTGCAAATCAAAGCAGAAGTTCAAAGGGAAAGAAGAGAAGAAGAAACAGAATAAATAAACAGCAACACTAATTTAACTTACCTCAAGAACATGCTTCACAACAGATGCTCCCCCGTACCTCAGAGCTTCCTCCCGCGCGTTGCGCTTGTCCACTTCGGGGAAGGTGCTGTTGATGAACCACCTAGCCCCCATTACGTTATTTCCCTCGAACAGGCTGCTTTGAGGCACCACTGGGGAAACAGGGCCCTTTCCCTTACCAGGAGCCCGTACCTCAGCCCCCTCCTCCAACCGTCTGAGCTCAGGGTTCAACTCAACAGGAGGAGGCTGAGGTACGAACTCATGAACCCCATTCCCCTCTTCCTCCTCCACCACTTTCTGCTTCTTCTGCAGTGCCCTCCTCTCCTCCCAACCCTTCCTCTTCAGCGTTGGCACCTCCTCCTCCGTCTCAGCTAAAGCCACGGGCACTACCTCCTTCCCGGTCCTCCCCTCATCCACTTTCTTGGTTGAAGTCTTTGACTTCTTCCTTGGCTTCTTAGGGATGGGCGCTCCTCCAGCAGTGTTCAAAAACTGGTCCATTTCAGCTGCAAAGCAAGAAACACAATGTTAGTCACAATTTTATATTCTACATTTAACACTACAGTGCATGATAAACAAACCTTCACTCAGAGCGCTTGGCCATAGAGCTCAGCAGCCTCTATGCATGCTGCGCTGGTGAGGTCCATGATGTTCAACACATCTCCCCCTTTCCTCACCAACTTCCCCACTTCTTCCTCCTCATCCTCATTTAAACTAAACCTATTCTGGTTGGCCCTTTTGGCCTTCCAGGAGGCTAACGCCCTCACCTCGGTATCCCCCTTACCCCACTCCGTGTCATTCACAAAAAAGAATTTTTCCTTCCATCCCTTAATGGATGAAGGACCCGTAGTGAATAAAATCCTACTCTCCTTCTTAGCTACCCTAGGGGTGAAATAATACCACCCCTTATCCCTCCTACTTCCTCCCTTTAAAACAAAAAAGTATTTAAACATATTCACAGTTGGTACACTAATCCCCTGAGCTCGGCAATAAACTAAAAAACCTATTATTACCCTCATTGCGTTAGGAACCAACTATGTCAACCCTATGTTGTAATCTAATAGTAAACCTACAAGCAACTCCGGAATTGGAAACTTAAGGCCAGCATACAAATAATGGGAGTATACGGGCATCCAATGATCCCGAGGAGCAGAGCATGCCCTCTCCTCTACCCTAGCTGGCCTAACTAGCACTCGGGACGAGATTTCGTAATTTTCTACTAAGTGACCCAGGCTATCCCTGGTCCTTAGTTCAGATCGGTACTGTTTCACCTCCTCCACTATCT